CTTAGGCTTTTATATACATAGAATATAAAGATTAGTCAGCTCAGACAGCCATAGCAAACTATCATAAACTAGAGGCCCGATGCATCAAGATTTGTGCAAGAATGGGCCTTCCTTCCCCTGCCTGCTGACACCACCTTCGCTCTGGTCGGAGCCACCTTTCTGCTCCAGCCCAGAGCTGCCTTTCCGCCTTCCCACACTGCCCAGAGGCCTGGAGCAGCTGGGGTGGTATGGAATGCCTACGTCAATTAGCATATTACTCTTTTATTAGGTAGATTTGTGTGGCTTAAACAACAGAATTGTACTTTTATCACAGTTCTGGAGGCTGGAATTTTGGGTCAGGGTACCAGCACAGCATCATCCCATACACCAGAAAGTGGTGGATCGATTGCCAGTCAGGGCACATGCCCAGGGTGCAGATTCAATATCCAGTCCAGTGAGTGTGGGAAACAACAGAACAATGTCTCTCTCTCACATCAATGTTTCTCTCTCTCTCCCTTCTCTTTGAGATAAATGAAAATGAATGATAAATAAATAAACAAATAATGTTCTATAAGTATGGTTTTAACAGGAAAGACATTAGTGATCTATGAAGTGAAAAACACATTATCACACATATATACAGCATGACCCCATTTAAAAACATACTTATTGATTTCAGAGGGAGGGAGAGGAAGAGATAGATAAAATAAAACATCAATGGTGAGAAAGAATCACTGATCAGTTGCCTCCTGCACCCCCTGTACTGAAGATCAAGCCCGAAACCTAACTGGTAATCAAATCATGACCTTCTGGTTCATAGATCGATGCTCAACCACCAAGCCCCACTAGCCGGACCCCATTTTTATCAATACCAGGCACATGGGGCACATTGGCAAGGTATCACTCCTACGCAAAAGTCTGAAATTGCCCGAACTCCTTAGCAGCTAATAAGTTTCTGGATAGGAATTCATTTCTGCTGGTTGAATGCCCTTGCATAATATTTTGAAGGTCGAAGTGGGGCAGAGGTGTCTTCCGCAGTTTGGACTGTTTGCTGCTGGTGATCATGTTTGCGGAGATGTGGAGGTTTTCTGCAGTGGAATCCAGGCTGTGCACAGGCAGCTGTGGCAGAGGCAGTGACCTGTTTTTGGGAGCTGGAGGGCACTTGCAGGGGTCACAGCTGTGCCAGGGTGTCCTGGCAGTTGTGGCTGAGGGGCAGCTCCTCCCGCTGGCCAGGAGTCTTTCCTGGGGGCCCCCAGCCTCATACCCACTCCTCCAGCTTTCCGATGATCTCCCAAGAACCAACTACCGGTGCTAAATTCTTTCTTGCCTGAAATAGCAAAGATCGGAAAACATTTTGGATCCTCTACTTTCAACGAGAACAAAGCTGCACGGGGGCAGGTCTGAGAAGTGGGTGAGGTGTTGCGGAAAGCTCCTTTCTTGGAGTCTTAGCTTCCTCTTCTGTAGAACAGAGGCCAAAGACTATTATCTGTTCATTGTTACTGAAGACCACGGCAGCTGTGTTTCCCAAAGATGGCCACAACATTTCCCATCCCTCCTGTGGCCTTGCTACTTTCCACCACGTCCTCTCTCTTGAAGCAGGGCTGGCCTCTGACTCCCTGGTAGCCGGTACACTGATCACCTGCAGAATTCCAAGGCCAAGGCTGAAAAGGCGAGTGTCTGCAGCCCCGCCCACTCCGCCATGGTTTCCAGCTCCAGCCCTGCCAATGCCTCTCTGGGGCACTGGCAGGTGTGGGGCCTTGCTCTCCCTGCTGGCTTCCCCTCTGTCTGCTGTGCCACCCTAGCGCCTTGCTATGCACCATGGCCTGCCTGCTGGGATCAGGAAGGGTAAGTGCCTAGGTTGGGCCTCAGGTCTCCTGGCTCTTGGGCACCACCCTGAGCTTAGCCACCCCATTGCCCCTATTTCTGGGATGCTCCGGCCTGGGCCAGATGCCCAGCTGCTGGGACTGCAGCAGCCACCAGGCAAGCCTCTCACCCCATCCCTGACTTGGGTGCCCTGATCCCGGGTCCACTTCCACCAAAGGAGGGCTTTTCCTGCACAACTGCCCAAGACCGAGAACCTCCAAGGTCCCTAGACCCCAAATTTCTGCTAGCCAAGGCTGATGGCCGGCTGACCCTGTCTCCAATCAAGGTCTTGGAGGCGGATTGGGATCTGGGCTGGTCGAGGATGAGGGGTGGGAGGGTGGGGGGGTATTGGGGCCCAGATGAGACTGGTTGGCTGCCACAGTGCGCATCATAGCCACTGGTCATTCTGCTGGAACTGTCACTGGGCTTTTACACCAGTATATAGACTAGAGGCCTGGTGCATGAATTTGTGCCTTGGCCTGATACTACCTCCTCACCAGCTCCACCATCCAGCCTGCGGGGTGATTGATTGGGGCTGGCCCCCCGCCTGGCTCCTTCAGCATGTGGGAGCCAAGTGGCAGTGGGGTGATCGGCAAGGCAATTGGGGCCCCACTCACACTGCCTTGGCCTGGTGCCGCCAGTTCACCTGCTCCACCATCCTGCTGTGGTCCTGCTCTCATAGGGGCCCCATTGGGGCTGGCAGTGCCTCCACTGCCACCCATTGCCAGCATGGTGTCTTGGTACCCGCCATATTCCATGCTGCCCCCTGGTGGTCAGTGCACGTCATAGCGAGCAGTTGAACTCCCAGTCTCCGAGTCCAAGTCCTGGTCCAATGACTGTCTGAGGGGACAATTTGCATATTAGGCTTTTATTATATAGGATAGGAGGTTTTGTTTTTCTTAACGTTTCCTTTTCAAGGAAACTGAGGAGCAAAGCAACTGAGGAGGTGACTCAGCTGTGAATCCAGAAAGCAGAACCAATAAGCATGGTTGGGCCGACCCATCAGGAGTTAAATCATCACCTTATCAATATCATCTCATCACCTGATGACTAATTACAATAACTGATGTCTGTGGACCTTCAGCCTTGCACATAGCTGCATTCTGCACCCCAGCCCCTTCCCCTTTATAATCCTGTGCTTTGAATCTTGCTGGAAGGCAGGATTTAATGCTTGTGCCGGGACTGGTTTGGCTCAGTGGATAGAGTGTCGGCCTGCGGACTGAAAGGTCCCGGGTTCGATTCCAGTCAAGGGCATGTGCCTTGGTTGTGGGCCTATCCCCAGTGGGGAGTGTGCAGGAGGCAGCTGGTCGATGTTTCTCTCTCATTGACATTTCTAACTCTTTGTCCCTCTCAATTCCTCTCTGTGTAAAATCAATAAAATATATTTTTTAAAAAATGCTTGTAAGCACCCTGTTTGCTTGGTTGGTTGGCCTTATTAAAAAAAAAAAAAAAAATGGCTGATATGATTCACTCTGCCTTCATTATTGGACACAGCGACAGGCAGCCCAAGCCCAACCTGGAGTTTCCTGGGAACACGTCCTACAATAAAGATAAAAAGACACACAAGAAGTTTCGGTTTCATATCTGTTGGTAGGGGAAAAAATAGAGTTTTCTTGGCAGCTAATCTTAACCTCCAGAGAGGACATATTTTGAATATAAGCCAGTGAATAATTGGCGAGGAAGGAAAAGTAAAAACATACAAAATGGCAGTTTGTTCCTATCAGAGCTTCCCTAGGAATATGTGGTACTATGATGCAGAAAGGATTCAATGAATTTGGCACTTGCCACAAACCCAATGTCTTTATGTCATCTGCTAGATCCTGATTTCTCAGGTGCCTAATCCCTTTTGAAAATATATTTGTACTGCTAATTCTTCCCTTTTGCCCTCCTCTTCAATGACCTCCTCCTCCTTGACCTTGGAAAATTCATAACACACTGTGAAAACAACCCTATGCAGAGAAAAGATTTTGGAGAGAATCACTCCTCAAACTACAAGAGTGATAGTCATTTAAAAGTATATATATATATCCTCACTCAAGGAATGTGGATTTTTTTTTTTTTATTGACTCAAGAGAGTGAAGGGAGTGGGGGGGGGAAGGAAGGAGGGTGGGGAAGGAAGAGAGAAAAACACATCAGAATGGTTGCCTCCCCCACGTACCCCCACCAGGAGTGGGGGTCAGACCTGAAACCCAGGTACATGCCCTTGACTGGGAATTGAACCGGTGACCCTCTGGAGCACAGGCTGATGCTTCTAACCACTGAGCCATGCCATCCAGGGCTCTAACCGCTTTTGAAGTGTTAGGTGAAAAAAGCCGGGTTGCCTTTTCTCCATTCTGCCTCTGTTCCCTAGAGTTTAGCCCTTAACTCAGCGAGAGGGCAAGCTCTCAAAGGTCTGATTATGTGCTGCTGTGGGACTGAAATTTGAGTGAGGCCCAGGCCCAGTGAAAGCCTGGCAGCCCCAAGTGGCAGCCAGAAGCCATCAGCCTTGGCATCTCTGGGGAGATCTTAGGAAATCAGCTTCAGGCCTCCCTCCAGGCCCATTATATTTGCATTTGAAAAAAGATCCCCAGGGGATATGCCTGCACTTTAAAGTTCGGTCACAAAAAGATAGAAACGGGTAACTCCAGTACAAAATGGCTAAGGAAGTGAATCTGTATTATCCCTCCCACAGGTACCGAGCGGTGTGAGCTGTTCAGTTAGTTCTCTAGTGCTGTTATCACAGCTCTCGGGACGGATCCTTCCTACCTTCGAACTGGCTACCAAGGGCAGGCTGTAAAGATGAGATCCGGTGCTGTTAAAAGCACCTTGAAATCAATCACTTGGAAAGTTAGTCCTGCTTGTGAGCACATGGCTGCCGACCTGTGACCAGGCATCTCTGTTTCAAGAGGAAAAGGTTTCTAGTCGCTCCTCAGGTGGAAACTGGTGTTTACAGTTTTTCAACAGTAGACCTGGCTTCGCACAGACAACAGTCTGAACCTGGAAAGAAAGCAGCCAGGCATTGAAGTGGGGCCCGTTGGCACCTTTTGGTAATCTTATGCTGAGAGGTGCAGAGATCTAATGGCTGGGTTTCAGGACCTGCCAGGAACTGGTTATCAATAGAAATGAAGGCTTCAGCTCCCCGAGGTTGTACTGGAGACAATAAGCACCTGTGGACATACTGAAAGTCTCACTTTCAACTTTTATTTATAAATGAGAGATATATAAATACGTGCACTTTAACCTAATGTGATCAGCATGTTCTGTTCTGCACCAATGTTTAATCCCTGATCTTCTCTCTCTAGACTCTAGAGTCTAGAGCGAGGCAGCCGAGGGACAAAACTACATTATAGCATTAGTCCTTTCATTCTTTGGCTTCTAAAAGGGAAACTCTGGTGTGACCTCAACTTTCACACCAAAAACAAGTCATAAAAAAAAAAAAGGTAAATGCTAGGTGTACATAAAGAAATGTAAATATAGGTTAACCAGGTCATTTCATTCCATAAAAGCCACCAACGTTAGCTGCTGGTTATGTGCACGGCTCAGAGTTCGTTTTTTAAGAGCCTCAGTCATACATAGCCAGAAACACGCGGGTCTCTGAGAGATTGCATGAAAAGCAATTATACGGCGGAAAGAAATGAATAACGCTTAATGACATCGCTGCAAAAGTCCGTCGGCATTTCAGAACATGGTTTCAAGGTGTCAAATAGTTTTTGAGCCTCTATGGGCTGGTCTGGACTGGTTGTTGTTGTTGTTATAGTCCCCGCTCAACAAGATGCTAAGTCGCTCCATGTCCTTCAGCTCAAAGCAGGAGAAGTCTGTCCCTCTGTAAAGAAGCCCCTGGTGTGGTCCCTTTGGAGAGAAAAATCTAACCTCTGTTACAAAGAAAAACCAAACCCAACCTGCATCCATCGTCCACGGAGTCCAATTTGGCCGCAGGAAAGGACGATCACCCTCCAAACCATCTTACAGGAGCAGGACAGGAGTCCAGGGCTCCCACCCCAGCCAGGTGTATCCAGCTGCTCAGAGCTGGACTGTGGCTGGCCAGTCCCCCCATCCGGGCTGGCTGGCGGGCGCCGCTTACAGGTCGGAGTCGCAGGGCAGGGAGCTCTGGCAGGGCCGGGTGCTGCGGGAGGACGCGCCCTGGGAATTGACCTCAGTCTCCCCGTCCAGCACGTTCAGGGGGTTGGTGTAGGTCCTGGGCGGCGGCCGCGGCATGGGGAAGCCCACCTTGGGCTTGGCGGGGGCGGCGGGGCCGGCGTCGGCGGGCCGCGGCCGGTGCTGGCCGTCGCTGTAGTACTTGATGGCGGGCGGGAGCACGGGCTGGGGCCAGTCGATGGTCACGGTGCTGATGCTGGGGCGGCGCTGGCCGGCGGCGCGGGCCCCCGCCTTGCGGCGGCGGCGGCGGCACTCCTCGCACCAGGGCGCGAAGCTGAGCGCCAGCGCCAGGCCGCCCAGCAGCAGCAGGCAGCTGCCCAGGTAGCCCAGCACCAGGCTGTAGCTGACCTCCACCGTGACCGGGCTGGCGGGCGCGGGCAGGACGGCGCGGTCCTGCAGGAAGTGGTTGTACCAGGACACGGGGATGAGGCTGAGGAGGCCGGCGGCGAAGAGCGCCACGCCCGAGGCGCCCGCCAGCGCGAAGTGGGGCTCGTCCTCCCAGCAGCGCACCCCGAGCGACGCCAACAGCAGCCCCAGGCCCGTGACGGCCAGCGACGTGACCATGAGCGCGCGGGCCACCAGCACCGGCTCGGCCTGGAAGTAGCCCATCGTGTCCTGTTGGCCGCACTCGCGCTCGCGGCTGCTCTGCTCGCGGCACATGTCCCACAGGCCCTGGTACAGCACCACGTCCCTCGGCTGGTCCAGGAAGCCCTTCACCAGGCGCCAGCCGGGCGCCAGCGTGCTGGTGAGGGTCAGCAGCAGCCCGCAGGGCGCCAGCACCATGCCCAGCGTCATCGCCGCCGGCGTCCGCATCTCCCGGCGGCGGGGCGCGCTCCCGGGGGCGCTCACCTGCTGCCTCCTGCACCGACGGCTTCTGCACCGATGCGCTCTGCACCGAGGCCTTTTGCACCGACGCCCTCTGCACTGGCGCCTTCTCCGCCGATGCCTCCTCGGTCCTGGGACCCCGCGATCTCAGGCCCCGACGGCCCCGGAAGCGCGGGGCTCCTGCCCCGAAGTGGGCAGGGGGCCTCCGCGGGCGGTGGGGGGTGGGGGGTGGGGCCTGCGCCCCGCGGTCTCTCTCCGATGCGGGACGGTCCTCCCTGCAGCTGCCCCTCGCCTAGCTCCCTCCCGGCGCTCCGGCCGCTCCGCCCTCCCGGCTCGCCGCAATCGAAACCACTCGCGGGGCCGGGCGGGTGTGACCGAAACCCGGTCCGAGGTGCGGGCGTCCAGAAACCGGTCCGGGCGGGAGGGGCGCGCAGAGAGCGGCGCGGCCCCGGGAGGGCTCGGGGTCCGGGAGCGCCAACGCTTGGCTCCTCCGCGGCCGGCCGGCCGGGCTGCTCCGGGGCCGACCGAGCAAAGGTCGGCCCGCCTCTGGCTCCTCCGGAGGCTACGCGGGGCCGTGGGCGGGGAAGGAAGGAGGCGGTGCTCTCGGACAGCTGAGCTGGGCTCAGTGGCTGCGCAGCTTTTATACTTCTCGTCTAATCTCGTTTGGCAAAGTGTCTCTCTGGTCCTGGCCCGGGGTGTGTCCTCTCCTCCTCCACGCCCCGCGCGCACCCTTCCTCCCTCCAAGTTGCCCGCTGGGTCCCTGCAGCCACGCCCAGCCTGGTTGCCTGGGGCACGCGTGCACCACGACCCGGAGGCGTGTCCCCGAATATTGCACTGGATCGATTTGCTCCATTAGCCAGTATAATGTGCTTAATGAAGGCTCAGCCGGTGTGGCTCAGTGGTTGAGTGCTGACCCATGAACCGGGAGGTCAAGGTTTCATTCCCAGTCTGGGCACATAGCCGGTTGCAGACTCAATGCCCAATAGGAGTCATGCAGGAAGCAGCCAAATGATAATTCTTTCTCTTCGTTGGTTGATCTCTCTCTCTCTCTCTCTCTCTCTCTCTCTCTCTCTCTCTCTCTCTCAAATCAACAATATATATTTAAAAGGCTCCATAGTCAGATTAAGTTTGACTCAAAAGAATCAAAGCGAATGCGCTTCGGGGATGAGGGATTATTATTTTCTTTTATTTCTCAGACTCCTGTAGGATTCTGAGGCGCACACTAAAGGAGAGGGATGTTACTGGGTGTACTTTTCAGATTTATCTAACTACATAGGGCCCTGTGGCCTTCCATTATTTTTGAGCCATTTTACAATTCTGTAAATTGTAGAAAACCTGTAAGTCCTCCAACTGATTGTTGTCCATAGAAATGCAAATGAGTTTGTCAGTAAAATGTAAACTGACCAGTTTGGCATTGATTTCTAAATTTATTTTAGCATACCTGTTGCCTACATATATTTGTTATTTACATTCCTTTTTTTTTGAACTGGCTGTAACATCATACTAGTTTCATTGTTATTAAGGAGATAAAAAGTTTGACATACGTTCATTTTATATTGTGTCATAATTTGACATTTTTCTAAATATTCTCTTTTAACAATACTTTCCTCATAGCCTATATTTCTCAAAATGAAAGTTCACTATCTTTTATAATTAGTTAACATTAAAATGTTCTAAAAATCCAATTAAACATTTGTTTGAAATAATTCTGAACCTTTTATCTTTTCATTTAATTTTTAAATTATAGTTTACAGTCAATATTATTTTGTATTAGTTTCAGGTGTACAACTAATTCTGAACATTTTAGTGTGGACAATAGGAATCACTACCTTTCTTGGAAAAAGTTTTAATTAAAAATTGTGGTAAAATAAGAAAAGCGTAGAATTTACCATATTAACCATTTTTAAGTGTATGGCTCATTGGCTTTAAGTAAATTCATTTTGTGCTATTGTAATCGGAGGAGAGTTCTCCTGGTTCCACCTGATTGCTGGTGGGAGTGGGCTTCTTGCAATACCCAAAGAAAAAGAAATGTCTGAGACTTAGAATTTCAGTCTAATTCTGAGAGCAGGATATTGTAGAAAGCTCTGTTCCAGTGGAATTACACCCCTAGTTTCCAAGGTCCCATTTCCCTCTGTGCTGCTGTTAGGGCCGGGAGTGAGAAATAGACTAGTGAGGACTAGCTGTAATTGTAAGAAATATTAACCATACTCTGTTAACTGTGGCTGTTATTTTCTGATTTAAGCACATTCTGACCTGGCTGGGAGTTGTATGCTCCGGGACCTGAAAGTCCACCTCAAAATGTGGTCCATTCTCCTTATCCAAGAACTGCCTATCATCATGGAAAAATTAACAGCCTTGTTGCCAAAACAGAGTCCCTGGAGGTGTGAACCCTTTGCAACCTCCAGCCCACATTGCTTGTAACCTGTAACCAAAATACCCATTTTTTATTTCTTTTACATACTCATTCTTATTCCTTTTGCCTATTTCCCATGTAATCTTTGTCCTTCTACTAAATATTGTATTAGTAGCTGACTTATGGGGGAGGGGGGTAGAAGGGGCAGGTAGAGCAGGTTTTTGTGGATGACCTGCAGCACTCCTATGTTGCCAGCAATATTAATAAATGAAAATGCTTAAATGTGATTCAACTCTGCCTCTGCTGAATTGGCTTACCTCGTAATAGGCAGCCTACACACATTCATTGTCCAGTTTCACGGCCATGGAAGAGATGCAGTGTGACATCAATAGGGCTAGAATTAAAGCAGATGCCGAGTTTCCATTCTATGTCTGCCCAGTAGACTGGGCATCGGCTATCCCAGCATCAGGCTAGCTTCGTTTGTGCTCTCCACTGCAGTCCATCAGTCCATTGGGTGTGGGGTCTGCAGGGCCACATGGCTATGGAGGGAACATGGGTATCTACAAAACTAAAAGAAGCAGAAAGCCAAGAGAGAGAGCTCCTTTGTCTATGTATTCCCAAATTTGAGGGGCCTGCATGGGTTCTACTCCCTCTAGCCAATCCATGGTTTCCCAGGCTAGATTGACAGGCAACTAACTTCTCTATGTCCCCCCAACTTCACATCCATCTTCCCCTTTGTCTGGTGCCTTTCCCCTCTGAAAGGAAGTGGACCCATGGTTCCCTGAGGAAATAAAACTTCGGCTTCCTGGTGAAGCTGCCCAAATGACATGCCTATAATGTCTGGCCTTCCTTTTTGTTCCCTTGCTATCTTACCTAATAAAAGAGAAATATGCAAATTAACCATCACTCCGCTACACCCACAGCCAATCAGAGTGAGTATGAAAATTAACCAAAGATGGAGGTTGATTTGCATATGCAGGCACCTGAGCAGAGTGAAGCCTGCTATGAGGGAAAGGGAAGGAGGGGCACCGCTGGAGGGAGCTACTGGAATGGTGCTCCAGACAGAAGCGAGGACATGCCTGCTCCTGGGCAGCCAGAGAGGGGGATGTGCTAGCTCCCAGGTGGCCAGGGAGCAGGGATGTGCCGGCTCCCCTCCCGGGTGCCAGCTCCTGGGCGACTGGGAGTGAAGCCAGGGGCCTATTCTTGCTGAATATCTTGCAACAGGCCTCTAGTTCTATATAATAAAACGCTAATGTGCAAATCGACTAAACGGAGGAGTGACCAGTTACTATGATGCACACTGACCACCAAGGGGCAGATGCTCAATGCAGGAGATGCCTCCTCGTGGTCAGTGCACTCTCACAGGGCTGAGAGCTGCTCAGCCAGAAGCAGGGCTCACAGCTGGTGAGGGATCTTGGACTGCAAGAGGGTGCAGGTCGGGCTGAGGGACCCCTCCATCACCACCAAGTGCATGAATTTCATGCACCAGGTCTCTATTTATTAATAACTGACTAATTACAATGGCATAACTGCTACCTCCACCATCCATTGCCAGAACTTTTTCATCTTCCCAAACTGAAATTCTAACCACTTTTCAATAACTCCTGTTTCTGTCATTACCCCTCCTATCCCCTAAACCCTTGACCACCACTATTCTACTTCCTGTCTATGGGATTTGAGTATTCTAGTATCTCTGACTGGCTTATTTCACTTAGCATGTCTTCAAGGTTCAACCATGTTGCAGCAGGTGTCAGAATTTCCTTCCTTTTTAAGGCTGAGTAGCATTCCATTGTAGGTATACGCCACGCTTTGTTTATCCAGTCATCCTTTGATCCATACTTGGCTTGCTTCTACCTTTTGGTTACTGCAAGTAATCCTGCTGTGAATATAGGTGTTAACACCTTTTGGAATCCCTGCTTTCAATTTCCCAGAAGTGGAATTGCTGGATCATATGGTACTCTATTTTTAATATTTTGAAGAAATGACCTGCTGTTTTTCATAGCAGCTGCATGGGCACTATGATATAAGTGAGCACTTTAGTTTTAATCTGCACTCTTGCTAAAAAACAAAATGCTCACTTATATCATAATGCCCATGCAGCTGCTATGAAAAACAGCAGGTCATTTCTTCAAAATATTGAAGCCCCCATCAGCTCTGAGACAGCATTTCTGCTTTGAAAGCACTACAGTTTCTCTCTGCTTTGGACCTCAATGAGGTTGCTTAGAACAGCAGGGAGACTTCATAAAGACTTCATGGGCTCTGAAACCTCCTCCAAAAGTTGTTCCCTTCACATCGGATTCCTCTGTGCAGTGAATGAAGCCCAGATGTTATTTACCCATGCAGAGGAGGGAATCCTGTATGTTCTACCTCCTAATCTCTCCAGCCATCCACTTCTCTTTCTCCCCGCTTGCCTCTACCTAAACCCAAATCATCCTCTCATCTTCCCCTTTAAGCTGACTCCTAACTGGTTTCCTACACCCAGGCTTTCTCTCTCCCTTCCTGTTCCCCACATAGGCCCTCGGAGCAGAGCGAGTGTACGCTGTCCAACTTAAATCACACCCTACACCTGCATTAACCCTTTACAAAACCTTCCACAGTTCCTCTCCAGCCGCACCTCCTGCCCATCACCTCCTCCCTTTCCCAGTACCATCTTCTCACGCAGAGCCCAGGAAATCCAAGGATTTTCCTCATTTTTTTCAGGGTTGTCTTCCCTTTTGCCTCTAGATTCTTTCTTATGCAACCATCTTTTCCTGGAGTCCTGCCTGCCACTTCCCAACCCCAATGCATCATTCAGATGATCACTTCTTCTCTTGTGTACGTCCATACCTCCCTCTTCTATCCTAACAATTGCCACAGCTCCTTGCTCCCGAGTCATCGGTTTTCCAGTTAATCTGTTGATTCTTTGTGGCAGACCTCAGGGCCACCTGTTCTGTTTTGCCCTGAAATCCATCTTCATACCTGGCCCAACAGTAACCATTCAACAAATCAATGGTATCTCTCTCTGCCCTGAATTCATTCAGGTAGCATCCACAGCCGGACCAAAATAGATTGTAACATGCAGCTCAGTAAAGAAGCTGGTTTGAATGTTTGTTTTTTTCCTCAGCATGGAAGGTATTGAGATAATGGGATAGCTCCAGATTTTTAAGACGAAGTGTAAGCCTATGAGGATAACTTTCTATGGTAATAAAAGAAAGACAAGATTGAGCTAGAATAGCATGATTATGGCCCTGGGCTCTTTGTTCCACGGACTTCCGAGTTCACTAGAAGGCTGAGTGAGAAACAAAGCATGAATCATTGTGTGGCAGGAATGAATTATTGCTGAGATTAGTACCTGTTGGTGTTAACC